TGCAGTGAGCCAAGATTGCGCCACTGGACTCCAGCATGGGCGACAGAGCCAGACTCCATCTCAAACAACAACAACAACAAAAAAGTTTCTCATCCAGTCCAGTTCCACATCTTGTTCAGGTTTCTTTAATATTCTTTAAAAGATAATCTATGCAAATATAAGTATGTATGTACATTTAAAAAGTTGTTTATACAGGCAGTACCCAATTATAAATACTTCTGTTGCCTTTTTCCACTTAAATGTATCTAGGAAAGTAGTTCTTACCAGCACATATGTCTCCACATGGTTGTCCAGATGTAAGCTGTAGATGCCGGAGCTGGCTTGGACTGATTCATGAGAGCTGATTGTTGTTTTGGTAGGAATTTAGTGAACTGGTTGTTAAACATGGCCATTATTGAAATTGACCATTATGGGAGTATTTACACTGTAAAAATTGGCAAACACTGCAAATAGCCTTTTTCTTCTCCAAACTGGTAGTTACACATTTACCAGCACACCACTAGATGTATAACTTTACTAGAGGAGGTCTCTAGATAGCAGTTTGCTTTGTAATGTTTAAAAACAAAACACCCTCCCCTCCCCTCTTTTTTCTTTTTCTTTTTTTTTCTTTTCTTTTTCTTTTTCTTTCTTTTCTGACAGGGACTCGCTCTGTTGCCCAGACTGGAGTGCAGTGGTGCTATCATAGCTCACTGCAGCCTTGACCTCCTGGGCTCAAGCTATTCTCCCACCTCAGCCTCCTGAGTAGGTGGGACTACAGGTGCATGCCACCACACCCATCTAACTGTTGTATTTTTTTGGTAGAGAGGAGGTCTGGCTGTGTTGCCCAGGCTGGTCTTGAACTCCTGGGATTAAGTGATTGACCTGCCTTGGCCTCCCAAAGTGTTGGGATTATAGGTGTGAGCCACTGCACCTGGCCTTGTTTCTAACTTTAATGAAAATATTTCTACTTTATGATGCTAATTTTTTTTTTTTTTTTTTTACTTGAAGTTGCTGTTGTTTGGCTTGAGATGGTTGTTTTGTTTGTTTGTTTGTTTTTGAGATGGAGTCTCACTCTGCCACTGAGGCTGGAATACGGTGGCACGATCTTGGCTTACTCACTGCAACTTCCACCTCCTGGGTTCAAGCAATTTTCCTGCCTCAGCCTATGGAATAGCTGGGATTATAGATGTGTGCCACCATGCCAGGCTAATTTTTGTAGTTTTAGTAGAGACAGGGTTTCGCTATGTTGGCCAGGCTGGTCTTGAAGTCCTGACCTCAAGTGATGCCCCCGCCTCAGCCTCCCAAAGTACTGTGATTACATTTCCCTCTTAAAGTTGTGCTATAGACTGCGTGTTTGTTGATATATATATCAACAGATATATACGTTGAGGCTCCTACCCCCCATCGTGATGGTATTAGGACGTGGGGTCTTTGGGAGGTGATTAGGGTTAGATGAGATTATGAGAGCAGAGCCCTCCTGAATGGGATGAATGCCCTTTTAAGCGTTCTGAGAGACCTTGCTTCTCTCTGCCTTCTGCTATGCAAGGATACAACAAGAGGTCAGCAGCCTGTACCCTAGAAAGAGGGTCCTCACCAGAACTCAATGATGCTGGCACCCTGATCTCAGACTTCCAGCCTCCGGAACTGTGAGAAATAAATTTCTATTATTCATAAGCCACTCAGTCTATGGTAATTTGTTTTTGTAGCTCAAACTAAAACAAGTTGTTTCAGTATTAATTCTTTTTTCATTGTCATGGGAAACTCAAATCTAAACGGAAAGTTACAGCTTAGGCTGGGTGTGGTGGCTTATGCCTGTAATCCTAGCCCTTTGGGAGGCCAAGGTGGGCAGATCACCTGAGGTCAGGAGTTCAAGACCAGCCTGCCCAACATAGTGGAACCCCATCTCTACTAAAAATAGAAAAAGTAGCCAGGTGTGGTGGCGTGCACCTGTAATCCCAGCTACTCAGGAGACTGAGGCAGGAGAATCGCTTGAACCCTGGAGGCAGAGGTTGCATTGAGCCGAGATCACGTCATTGTACTCCAGCCTGTGCATCAAGAGTGAAACTCCTCAAGAAGAAAAAAAAAAAGTTACAGCTTAATCCTTTTCAGTGAAAATGTTTCTGGATGCTCAGATAGCAGGACAATTAATACTGTTGGGGTTTGTTGAATGGTCTTTATGGAAAGGGGTGTAGCTTCATGGTGAGGGACTGACGTATGCTACGTATTTCAATTTAAATGCTGAAGGAACATTTTTCTGTAGCAACATTGTTCATTTGCATTTATTGAAAGGCATTTGAGGGCCTACTGTGTACCAAGTGGAAATACAGAGATAAATGAGAATCATGCTTTTGCTCTTAAAACACAGAATAGTACAGAATATAGGTATCAACAGATAATGGCGGGAAATTGCGGTAAGAAATATGTCAAAGTAAGTACTGAAGAATTAGAGACGAAAAGATCTGTTAGCCTCTGGATGAGTTAGGGAAGGTTTCATGTTGAGGTGAGCTGTGTTTGTAGTCTGAAGCGTTTTACCAGGCTGAGGGGAACAGCATGTGCAAAAGCATGAAAGTGTGAATAAGGTTTGTGTGGAAGTGGAGCAAGTTCAGTATGACCCAAGGATAGGTTGCAAAAGAGGCCTTTGATTGTGTAGTGTAGCACTCAGTAAATATTGTTGGCACTTGAAATCAATGACTGTACATTCCAAACTAATCTGAAAGCTATTTCCTTTTGGTGTGGGTTTGGTTTTCTTGTTAATTTTGAAATATACTTTTGAACACTGAGATCTCTGAAACTGCTAGATCTCTAGAAGTGTAATTTGGAAAGAAACTTGCTTGTAGCTTTAACAAAATAAGGAATTTCCCAAATAAAACTTGTTTTGAAGTTTGAAAATCAATACTGTTGGTGGGATAGATGAATAAATGAATGAATACTGTGTATACACCAGATATTCTTACATATGACCTAGAGGAATGGAACTCTTTGCAAAAGTATATTTCATATTTCAGCCTCAAAATCAATCTTTGAAACATGGTCCTTGCTTACATGGGAAAGGCATATTGTGAGTCAAATACTAGTTTATCTTAGGGATTTTGTCTCCTGGTTAGTTACACAATGAACAGTGTATTTTCAGCCCTGAAATTCAGTACCAAAATGTAATGCCTCCCAGAAATTAAAAATAAATGATTGAATTCAACACTTCTATTCATTTTGATGGTATTAGTGTTTGCCCTTTTTTGCAGTCTGGCTTAGAAGCTTATCACTTTACCTGAGCTGGTGGTCTCAGAGTGGGGAAGTATACACTGCAGAGTACACAAGACAGTTTATTTTGGAATATGGCAGGAAAATATTAGCATTTTTTATTTATATTGCTGCTTATGCCATTGTTTAATTTCTGTTTTTGTGTGTAAGGTACAAACGTACATATTCACGCAAATACTGTATACAAAACACATGTAACCCCACACATATACACATGTGCACTCACATACATACACAGATACACATAAAAAAATGAGGTTCCATGCTGCCTCCTTTCCCCTACCCATTTTTCTGGGCACATATGATCAGGAAAGTTTGATACCACTGATTTAAACCATCAATGCAAAAACACTTTCAAAGGAATCTTAAAGTATTTTAAAATTCTAAGTTTTATAAAGAATACACCTTAGGCAATACCAGTTTAAAAGAAACACTTTAATGAAATAAACACAGTAGGTTGTAAGGTTGTAATTTGTGTCTAATAATGAATGCATACTTATGGGCACTTTAGATTTTTTTATACCAAAGTAGGTTTCAAAGGACAATTTATGTCATGTTTTCTTAGTGAAGTGGTAATGAATTCCATAAATATCCTTGCTGTACCATGAATCCTATCTGACATTTCCCTCCTAAATTGGTTAAAAATCAGTATTATAGGCTGGGCGCAGTGGCTCACACCTGTAATCCCAGCACTTTGGGAGGCCAAGGCGGGCAGATCATTTGAGGTCAGGAGTTTGAGACTAGCCAGGCCAACATGGTGAAACCCCATCTCTACTAAAAATACAAGAAAAAAAAAAAAAGAAAAAAAAAAAGAAAAAAATTAGCTGGGCATGGTGGCCGCGCACCTGTAATCCCAGCTACTTGGGAAACTGAGGCAGAAGAATGGTATGAACCTGGGAGGTGGAGGTTGTAGTGAGCCGGATCGCACCACTGCACTCCAGTCTGGGCAACAGAACGAGACTCTGTCTCAAAAAAAAAAAAAGAAAAAAAAATCAGTATTACAAACGTGCTTGTAAAGTAGATGTGTTGCCCACATCTTCCCTGGTGCTGTTACTTGGCACAACACTGACATCTAGAGTCAGTTGTGGCTTATTTGTTCTGAAGTTTCCTCTGTTTAACCTTCAGCTTTGGATTTTCTGTATTTTGGCTTTTATGGTCTTACTGTAGCCACTATTCTATTCTCCTTTTGCTGGTAGCATGATGTTTCATACCCTGGCAGGCAAATGTGCGTTACCCCATTGCCCCATTACAACATCAGAGGGAATAACTTTCACTAAGGTGCTTTTCAAAATGAATGTCTCTAACTCAAATTTTGTCACGTTGCTCCCTCTCAACTTATTTTGATTGTCCCAAGACTTCCACAAACCATAAAGGTGATTCTTCCACTCAAGACTGAGGCATATGGTTTGGCTTCAGATTTTCAGGATGGCAGTCATCACACATCTCATGTTGAATAAAGCAAACTCAGGATACATGTTTAAAATAGAATTTTTTTTTTTCCTTGGCAAATTTGGAAGGTATTTTTCAGTTGTATTTTGTTGGGTTTTGGTATTTTGATAATGACTGTTAGTTATAGTTTCCTTACATTCTGGCATCCTTCTTTGTAGCCAGTTGTCATTTCTGTTTACCTTTATTTTTTTTAAGACCTGATGATATATGTTCATTAACACTGCCATAGTTCCAGGAGTTGGATTTTCAGTGACTTAATTGAAAATTAAAACGTTTCTATGGTCTTTCATAGTTGGAAAGTACTCTTCTGTTTTCATAAGTGGTGTTGTCTTTCTCCTGCAATAATAAATACATAGAAAGCCATATTTAAGATTATGTAACCAATGAAGCCACCTGCCAAGGAACATGCAAACCATTGGGCCATCTTGGATTCTGGGTCCTAAGTGCCCATACAGTAATCTTAAAGGCCAGGTTACCATTTCCCCATCCGTATATAGAGTAGGATGTGGGAACTGAAAAATCTTTGTTTTTTTGTTTTGTTTTATTGTTTGTTTGTTTGTTTGGATGCTATTGTCAACATCCTGGCTGAGAGCTTTACAATTCTCACTTCTAAGACTGCTTTCAGGCCACATACCTTGGCCTTGTTGTTGAAAACATGTCCCAGCCTCAGAAAGAAAAACGATTTATAATTACTCAGCATGGCATCTTAGTAATTAGACCACCTATCATCTTTATGTATTCATATATACACTGGAGGATGAAACGACTACTTAAGACGATATTCTTTCCTTGGCAGAAATCCTTTGTAAAAGTTAGATTTTTAGCGCTTCCTTTGGCAGCACATACACTAAAATTGGAACAATATAGAGAAGATTAGCATGGCCCCTGGGCAAGGGTGACACACAAATTCGTGAAGCATTCCATATTTTTTAAAAAGAAAAAAATTAAAGTAAAAGTTGGACTTAAAAAAAAGTCGCCTTATTTCAGTCTCCTGATGCATTTGCCCTCTTGGCTGCTGTTTAAGAGGAAAATATCTTTACTAGTGTATCAGTTCAGCTTATTTTGTGCTCGCTTTGGCAGCACACACACTAAAATTGGAATGATACAGAGAAGATTAGCATGGCTCTTGCACACAGATGACACGTAAATTTGTGAAGGATTCCATAAATTTTATTTAATTAATTTTTTTTTTTTTTTTTTGAGACGGAGTCTCGCTCTGTAGCCCAGGCTGGAGTGCAGTGGCCCGATCTCAGCTCACTGCAAGCCTCGCCTCCCGGGTTCACGCCATTTCCGGCCTCGCCTCCCGAGTAGCTGGGACTACAGGCGCCCGCCACCTCGCCGGCTATTTTTTGTATTTCTTAGTAGAGAAGGGTTCACCGTGTTAGCCAGGATGGTCTCATCTCCGACCTCGTGATCCGCCCATCTCGGCCTCCAAATGTGCTGGATTACAGGCTTGAGCCACCCGCGGCCGCGCCTCCATAAATTTAAAAATAACATAAATAGGCCAGGCGCGGTGGATACTCCTGTAATCCCAGCCTGGTGAGGGCGGCAGGCGGGGAATTATGAGGTCAGGAGATCGAGCGCCATCCTGGCTACAGATTGAAAGCCCATCTGCTACATAAAAATACAAAAAATTAGCCGGCGTGGTGGCGGGGGCTGTGGATCCCAGCTACTTGGACGGCTGAGGCAGGCAGGAATGGTCGGTGACCCAGAAGGCAGAGCTTACCAGTGAGCAGAGATTGGCGCACTGCACTCCCAATCTGGGAGACAGAGCTAGACTCGTAAAAATAAAAATAAAATAAAGTAACCTTATTTTTATACATTTTAGTTATTTGAGCTTTTCATTCATGTGCATGGAAGAACGGTATCTGTTTAGCTGGAATTAAGTAAATTTCGTTTGTAGACCGGTATATAAGCGGGCGCGGTGGCTCAAGCCTGTCAATCCCAGCACTTTGGGAGTCCGAGACGGGCGGATCACGAGGTCAGGAGATCGAGACCATCCTGGCGAACTCGGTGAAACCCCGTCTCTACTAAAAAGTACAAAAAATAGCCGGGTGAGGTGGCGGGTGCCTGTAGTCCCAGCTACTGGGGAGCCTGAGGCAGGAGAATGGCGTGGACCCAGGAGGCGGAGCTTGCAGTGAGCTGAGATC